CCAGAAGACAGAAATCTTCATACTCATCGCCCTGATTATGGAGGCAGTATGACCTCTGAAACGTTGGTTAACATCGACCAGACTACACAGCGCAGCAAACCAGAAGACAGAAATCTTCATACTCACCGGTGTGAAAACCTTAAATCTTACAAAGAAGAAGTATTCCAATTGAATCTATGTATAGCCAATGGGTAGTCTATGTTACTTAGCTGTGATATGACGGAAGATCCAATATCCAGAGTCACGCATCTGACTGGTATGTTGTCCAAATGAACAGAGAAGAAGACGTATGAAGATTTCTGTCTTCTGGGTTCCTGCGCTATGTCAGTCTACACAGCACATCAACCCTGACTACAGATATCTTCATACTCACCGGTGAGAAAACCCTAAATCTTACAAAGAAGAAATATTCCAATTGGGGAACTATGCCATGAAATGTGACTTGGCTGGTTTTTGCTATAAATCCCTTGATCAAAATGTAGGATATGGACAAGTTAGCACCTTGCTGAAGCTGAAAACAAATTAAGACATATGCACATGCGGGAGTGCCAGCACACTCAGAAGATACATTTAACTCCTTACATAAACATTTGCAATGGAAAAATGGCCAGACTTTAATTTAAACCAAAACTGCCTAAAGAAATAGGCTGTGGTAATCTGCTGAAATATGCTGGGATAAGTGAACAATGATTTGGAAAAATATGAAAGGAAGTGACTGTGGCACATTTTATGCATTGTACCAGCATTTGTTTGGAAGTAGTTAAAACAACAACAAATCTCAGTCAGGATAGTTGTCTCCAGGTAGACATTTGACCACAAGATTCAGTGTGAAGGTGTGGAATGAAATGAGGGTTGGTTCAAATGGCATGCTCTTTCAATGTGGTGATATTCTTTGTTCCATAAAATAAAAACATTTCTTGGTTTTTCTGCCAGTCGCTTTTCACACTCTGTTCACTGTCTGTTCCCTTTAACAAAATGTTTCAAACTAAAGTGGTCACTGATACACCCATCATTTCACAACAACACGCCATAAAACAAACAACTCAGAGAAAATACACTGATACTTACCAGGCTGTGCTAAAAACAATTAAAAACATTTTGTTAATCATTTTAGAATTTTAAATTTTAAATGAATTAATAAATTTATTAATGTTTTAGTATAAAGTTATTATTTCTGGACAATTGTGGAGAAGATTCATAGTGCAATGACACAGAAGCAGGGAATTGAAACCGATGATGGCCACAATGGTTCAAAAAATGTTATTCAGATGAACAGAGTGTGTTAAAAGTGATGGGCGTAAAAGCCAAGATTCAACATAACACACCAGAATGCTACACTACAGATAAGAAACATTTCTTGACCAACTGAGAAACTGAAATATTTGAAGGAAGACTATGTACCAGAGAACTAATTAGGTAGGTACTTAAGTTGTTCACAGTAAGGAAATGTGATGAATTTCATGTAAAACTCCCAAAAACATTCTGGTTTGTTACATCACTGACAGCTGTAAGCAGTAAAAATCAGAAAACACTAATCTTACTCCTTGTAACAGCTAAAGGCTTATCCTTGTTGTTCATTGTACTACATCAACAATAAGCTGGGCAAGCTAGCAGCCCAATTACTGGTGCACAGACATGTGTCACAAACCAACTGGAAAACTAACTGGTTAATAAGTCACTGATAAAGATCACTTATATATGGTAAACTGTCTTCTCTTATAGGTGATAAATATAAAATTCAAATCACCCTGCTTCATATTAAACATAAGTGAATTAAGTGAGATTTTGTGTTTTCACACACCAAATATGAAGCAGGCTGTCTTCTGGATTCTTGCAACATGTACTCAGGTAGAAGTTTACTGATGTTTCAGAAAGGGTTTGCTGCTCCATCACTCTGAAGATAGAGGCAGCAAGTTTATCTGAAATGTTGGCACACTTTTACCAGACTATGCGGTATAACATCATGCAAACTGCCTTTTGAACAAAATCACTCCTCTGATGTCATTGCACGCAAATCTTAATTCAGAAACCAATACCAAAAATTGTTAATAAAAAAGGGATGTCACTTTTTGATTTCTTAAGAACGGATCCATCTGCTATTTGTAGGGAGTATAGGTAAACGTAGCACATAATGAAGGTAAATTATTTTAAATTAAACTTATTAATTAATGTGAAAACTCCACCAAAAACAAATATATAAAATCAAAAATATATAGAAAAAATTATCAAACGAAAAGCCGAAGTGTGTCAAATCTAAACAAATTCAACTGGATACAAAAACAAAGATCCTGAAGACCCAACACCAGACAGGCATCAAGACTAGAATCAAATGTTCCCAACATCTGGACCTGATACTACAACGAACAACTTACAGCAAACCACTGATCTTTTCCACAATTCCGGCTTCCAGCCCAGGTCTGCTTAAAGTAACGCGCTAGCAAAATTCCACTGCCTGCAGCACCAATCCAAGCTCCAATCATCAATGCCCCATGAAGTCTGAGTAGCAAGTGGCAAGTGGCAAGATTGGGAACTATAGACCGGTCAGTTTAACCTCGGTGGTTTGCAAGCAAATGGAGCACGTTATAGCAGGGTATCTAAGGCAAGTCTGGGAAAGGAGTGAGTGGTTATATGAGGGTCAACATGGGTTTAGACCAGGGTACTCATGCGAAAGTCAAGTAGTCACGGTTTGTCAAGATGTTGCTGATTCATTGGACGAGGGAATCAGGACTGATGCGGTTATAATAGATTTCTCAAAGGCATTCGATTTAGTCCCACACGATAGGCTGATTACAAAAATTGCTGCAACCGGTGTGGACTTGAGAGTAGTGTTATGGGTAAAGGAATTTCTCTTAGGACGTTCGCAAAGAGTAAGAGTGGAAGGACAGCTATCTCATGAAGTCAGGGTAACGTCAGGAGTGCCGCAAGGGAGCGTATTAGGTCCCTTGCTATTCCTAGCTTATGTTAATGATATTTGGAAAAACATTGATTCAAATATACGGCTTTTCGCTGATGATTGTATAGTATACAGGAAAATAATGGATAGTAGTGACATTGATAAGTTACAGACAGATATGAATAGATTATGGGAATGGGCGGTAGAAAATGAAATGAAGATAAATCCAGGTAAAAGTAAAGCAGTCAGCTTCAATAGAGCTAGGGTGAAGGATAAGCTGAGTTACTTTTTTGGGGATCAATTAATTCCAGAGGCAAATAGCTTTAAGTACTTAGGAATACTTATTCGCAGTGATCTGAGCTGGGCAGATCATGTGAATTATACACTAATTAAAGCATGGAAGGCTCTCCATTTCGTAATGCGTATACTAAAAAAGGGAAATAACAATACGAAACGTTTAGCTTATACGTCGCTAGTGAGACCGATACTTGAATATGGAGCTGTGTGTTGGGACCCTTACAGGGAAGGACAGGTAAGAGCACTAAATCGGGTGCAGAAGAGAGCGGCTAAATTTGCTAATTTCACGAACGAATCTGGTTGGGAAACATTGGCACAGCGTAGATTGATAGCCCGAATGTGCGCCCTTTTCAAAGCATACACGGGGGGCCGGGCTTGGAAAATGATAGAGGATAGATTATTAAAGCCATGCTACCTGGGCAGGGACGATCATACTCGGAAAATTAGGACTAGGAAACAAAGAACGGATGTAGGCAAATATTCCTTTGTAAATAGGACCATAAGAAGCTGGAACCAATTACCTCCAGGCGTGCTAGAGTCTTTCCCCTGTAAATTAGGCACCTTTAGAAAGAGGGTCAGAAAAGTAGTTACAAGCTAAGGGTTATTAAGTTGGGAATAAATGGTGATAAGTGAAGTGAAGTGTCTTAGTCTCCAAGTGATGAAGGGCTGTAGTTCTTTGGGATAAAATTTTCATGTACTGAGAGCGGACTTTATATTCCACTCTTAAGTATTGTGATTAATTAGTGGATGTGTGTTTTTTTATTGTGTGTCAGATGTTTTATTTTGAGTGTGGTATGTTGTATTGTTGTGTCTCATTGTATTGTTGTGTGAGTGCATCAGTTCATGACGTTTGTAATACATTACAGTTATTGTCTTATGTCTAGGTGGTATTAAGTTCTTTTTTTTAAGTTAAGTACTTGAGGTTGGATGGTTTTGTAATTTATGAGTTGGTTGATTTTGAGTGGGATGTGTTGTTTTTGTTGTGTCCTTTTTTATTGTTTTGTTCTGTCTCTGTGTTGATGTATCTCATTGTATGTTGTGTCTTATGGTTTTTGTTGTGTCCTTTGTTTATTGTTTTGTTGTGTCTCATTGTGTTGATGTATCCCATTGTTTGTGTGTCATATTGTTTTTGTTGTGTCCTTTTGTTTATTGTTTTGTTCTGTCTCTGTGTTGATGTATCTCATTGTTTATTGTGTCTTATTGTTTTTGTTGTGTCCTTTGTTTATTGTTTTGTTGTGTCTCATTGTGTTGATGTATCCCATTGTTTGGGTGTCATATTGTTTTTGTTGTGTCCTTTTGTTTATTGTTTTGTTCTGTCTCTGTGTTGATGTATCTCATTGTTTATTGTGTCTTATTGTTTTTGTTGTGTCCTTTGTTTATTGTTTTGTTGTGTCTCATTGTGTTGATGTATCCCATTGTTTGGGTGTCATATTGTTTTGTTGTGTCCTTTTGTTTATTGTTTTGTTCTGTCTCTGTGTTGATGTATCTCATTGTTTATTGTGTCTTATTTCCCGGGGGTAAAGCCGGCCGGGGCGTGATGCTGACCACTCACCCCCATCTAGTGCCGAGGTCAAGGAAGAGAGGAGCTATACCTCCTCTCACCCCAAACGCCTACATGGCGTATAGTGGGACAAACTTTACTTTTTACTCCCAACCTTATTAACACAGTCCTGAACATCAGATTTTATAATATTATTTCATACAAAGTTATAAAGGGCACTCAAACCCTGCTAGCGCCACATTTTGTCAACCACCAATATTGGTGTCAAAACAAGAAAAGTGGCAAACTTAAATTGAAAATGTCTCCAACCAACGCAGCGCCAAGCAATGGGTTTATCCCATAAAAAGGAGAAACAGTTGCCATTATGTTTCAGTCTCATAAGGCAAGTCATATGAATGGGTTAGGAGAGGTAATGCATTCCCTGAAGATATTAACACAAAACTGTCAAACTTATTGTGATAAAAAGAAATGTGAATAATTTGATTTACTATCTTACAAAGCAATTCTCAGATATACTAAGCACTTTCAATTGGTATAATTATCTTCCACACCTGAAACCACAGAATTCAGTTGCTATAATTATATCTGCTTGTAACAATGAAGGTCGTATGGTGTGGCGTTATGGCACAGAGGCCACACTCCAAATATCACCTGTGATAATATTTTTGGACTTCCAACATCTGAAAATGTCTTTAGAAAGAAACTAAACTTCTGAGAAACTAGAACGCCACAAAATAATTTTGTAAGAATCTCAATGACACATTCAATAATTACAAAAAATAATTGCCTATGACATGAAAGTGTCTTTAATTGTACCTTGTACTGTGTAAGTTTATGAAACATGATTTGCATGGAGTCTTAGGAACTGGAGGTGGGGTGACAGTTGACTCTGAACTATTGCCCACTGCGCTTTGGTGATCCATAGAGGGGCAGACTTCACACCTTCCCAGAAAGTGGAGTAGTCTTGCGCGACAGTAGCACTACATATTAAGAAATACAGTGTTACCAACAAACCACACTAAATAATATGAATAACAACAACTTAGTCTTGTTATCAATATTCTTTTCATTGTTACTGTCATTGCACGCTTATTTTATAAATTTTATACTGATAATTAAATATAATTAACATATCTGGGTCAAACAATTGCATATGCATATTCCAGTTATAAATAATTAAAAATCTGCAGACTACTGTAGTTGTCTGACTTCTATAACAGAATGTGCACCTCTGTATTTAATTATAGATGTTCTATGCTGGAAGATGACTTAAGTCAAAGAAATGATGACTGGCATCACAATAATCTTTTCAGCAAATATTCTGAATTTCTTCTGCTGAATGCATATGATTCTCTATTATTTTTTGTACCTTTTTGTATATTAAGTATATTTGGTACTGAGATGTCAATTAAGTATGAAGTTTTCCATCTCTTCTCTAAATGTGTAATATCTGGTCTGATGTGTATGATGGGTTTATAGGCGGTGATGTCGTTGACATTTAACACTGTTCCAAGAACATACAGGAATTTACCATGGTATATCTAATTCTTTAAAATATTTTTTCTCACTCAAATTGACGGATTTGATTAACTACATTATTATTATTTTTTATATATTCTTAGTGTTAGACCACTGTACCCAGTTTTTATATGTTCTATGGATTCTTATTGGGTATTGCTGAATCATGTTTAGACATTTCTTGGCGCTTATACTTTTTCTTTTATGGTGATCCCATGAACCTCTCAGTTATTCCATGTATTGTGCCTTGTCCAAGCTTATTAGCTTGTTATTATATAAGGATACTTTTTTTCCGTATACAACACATAGTTTTAATGTTATGATTTTGTAGTCTTAAATTTTTTTTTACATTATATTATGGACAATTTTCAAAATCAGATGCAAATTTCTTAATTCAATAAAATTTAATGGTTTCAGATCCCTTATTCTGAAACAAGTGTATTTATTGAGTTGAAAGTCATGCATTAAACTTTATCATATAATAACCATTCTATAGGGTTGCCTCTAATTCTCGCATTAACAGTTTTGAGTTATGCAAATGTAATGCATTATTTGAGAACAACGGTAATGAAACTATACCACATCAAAAAGAAATTAAAAGCACACTATATTTGGGTAATGCCACTGTCAGAATCTTTCATCTTCCTGTCTATTGTCTAAAATCTGAAGATCAAAATGCCTTACGTTTCTTAATTTTCTCAAACTTGTGTCTCACACTCTAAAGGAAGAACATAAATTAAGGTTGTATGGGAACAGGGTACTCAGCAAAATATTTTAGCTGAAAAGTTTGGCAAAAATTTGTAATAATGAGCATCATAATTTGTTGTCTTAATCAAAAATTATTAAAGTGGGCAAGTAGAGTGAAGCATCAGAAATGTAGCAAACACGTGGAAGTTTAAAAATGCATACAAAATATTGGTTAGAAAGCAGGAGAGAAACATATCAGTTGGTAGACCAAGGTACAGATGGTCAAATATTAAAGTAGATGTCAAAGAACTAGGATGTGATGTAAACACAATAATGCATCTTTGGTTTTCATAAAAGGAAGAAAATTCCTTGATCAGGTAAGCAACTATCAGATCCACAATAATGACTCTCCTCTACAGCACGCAGAATTTTACAACCCTTTAAAGGTGCTAATATGGCACGGCTGACAATTGGTTCTGTTAATGACATCAAGTGAAATAAATCAAATTTAGGTGAAACCTTGAACTACATAGTCTTGTAGAAGTTGACCACCATTTCAGAGGTCCTCATAGAAATGTTGATCAACTTCTACAAGGTTACATGTTGTAGAGGGATGTGTTCATTCCGTCCCCAAAAGAAAACAATTATCTAATTTAAATATATGCTATTGATGTATTCCAGTTACACAAATATTACGGGACCCTCATAATGTTGTATTGATTCCCACTTAAACTCCAGGCTGTATCGTACTGACCATTCTGTATGTATAAGAGTGTCCTGAGAATCATGAAAGCAGCATAAATTGCGTGTTATTAATTTAGTAAACTTGTGTTGCACAATAATGTGTTCATTAATTAGTATCCTTTTAAATAGGTCACAAATTACCTACAAATAGTAGTCTGTGCCACATTCATTAATTTGCTTGTACATTGAAACTACATCTGAATTTGATCAAAAGTTTATTTAAATCTGTTTACTGGGAGTAAGTTTGAACTTCATTTCTCAAATCATTCTGCAGTAGTCAGTGTCACTAGTTTGTGCACAGAATTTATAATCCACTGTGCAGACAAATTTCCATGCGCTAAACTTACACAAACATATTTTGTTTAAAAGAATTATCATAATTTAGCATGGGCTACTACATGCGAGTACCAACACTTTAGCACCAGTTAGAGTACCAAATAA